CACAGAAACTGTAGCAATACAGGCGGCCACACAAAAAACAACATAACACCAGCATTGCAACCTACAAAGCCCATAAACCCAAAGCAATGAGCCATGTAAAATAACGGCTTTACTACAGCCGCTAAAAATTGTAAAGCAAACCCAGGAGACCCCAAGTTCACGCTTGGCAGAGAACTTGAAACTATACTTCAACAAACGAACCGACATGATGAAACATGTGAGCACCCCACAAAAACCCTAAGATCACACCTCCGCCCTCCACCAGGACCCCAAACGCTAAACCCCAAACCCTACACCCCAAAACACTAAACGCTAAAGAAACCCTATGCACAACCCTAAACCCCAAACCCTAAACGCTTAAACCCTAAAACCCCGGAGCACCTGGACCCCAAACCCCCTGAGATCCCCTCCAGCGTCTCTGTAGTCTCGGATGACCCGGGGGAGGCTGGGGCCGGCGAACCAGGAAGCCTCATCTCCTTCCGCAGGGCGATGGGGCTGAGGGTTGAGAGTGGTTTAGGGGGGTTTACTTGTTTGGGGTTGAGGGTTTGGAGGTTTAGGGGTTTAGGGTTGCGGAATGGGGGGTGTTTAACGGTTCAGGGGTGTTTAGGGTTAAGGGTTTGGGGTTGAGGGTTTAGGGTGTAGGGGCAAAAGGGTTTAGGGTTTATGGGTTTAAGGGTTTAGGCTTTAGGGTTTGTTGTCCCGTTTTTGTTGGATCCTTGTTGTGAGGATCCCATTATCCTGCAGCATATCCTTGCGGCTTAGGATTGAGGGTTTAGGGTTGCGGAATGGGGGGTGTTTAACGGTTCAGGGGTGTTTAGAGTTAAGGGTTTGGGGTTGAGGGTTTAGGGTGTAGGGGCAAAAGGGTTTAGGGTTTATGGGTTTAAGGGTTTAGGCTTTAGGGTTTGTTGTCCCGATTTTTTGGATCCTTGTTGTGAGGATCCCATTATCCTGCAGCATATCCTTGCGGCTTAGGATTGAGGGTTTAGGGCTTCTACCAGTGAAGCCTCTTCTCCTTCAGGAAACAAAACATACGGCTTCCAGTTCGTTTCAGGGCTGCAGCTAGTTTGGTTCGACCCCGGGAAACCAGAACATGGTGTCATTCAAAGCGTTATGGGCAGTTATACAGGCATTCTGAGCTTTATAACGCTTTGGAGTCTGGGATGGGGCTGCTAATTTTTTGGATTGCTGTGGCTCGGATTCTGCTAAACCCTAAACCCTGAACAAGGGGGTTCAGGGTTCCTTGCCGGATTGCCTCCGCAGGGGTAGAATCTATTCTGAGGACCGAGGGCACTTTTCTGAAGGTCGCGGGTTTAGGGTTCAGGCTTGGACAGTGTTTGCTTGCTAAGCCATGAAGATGCCAGCCGAGTACGACGACAGCGAGAAGGACGACGACGCCGACAACCACGCGAAGACGACTCCTCCTACTGCCATTGGTGCTGCTACCGGTACTAACGTTGCGAAGTACTGGAGTTTTGAATCGCGAGCATTGTTGCACTACTTTCGAGCCTTCCGCCCTGACGTCCGCTGTCAAAAATGTGATGCACCAGTCTGTGTAGATAGATAGCACGCACATGATTTTGGCCACGCAGCTTGAGGTTTCCAGCCTTGAATTGGAGGTCGCTTTGCAGTGTAACTTCACCAGAACTACAATATACTTGCAAACTCGATTTCTTATTCCTAAACCACGACTTCATGAGCTCCTCCCACACTCTATAGTACGTCTTCTTGAAGTAGGACACCCAAGTCCCAAATCCAACAAGCTCTGACAACTCTATAACATTTCAGTAACAGTTTGCAATTTGCAATAACCTGTAGTTCGCATAAAACCCGGGTGAAACCAATTATATACCCCACCACAGAAACTGTAGCAATACAGGCGGCCACACAAAAAACAACATAACACCAGCATTGCAACCTACAAAGCCCATAAACCCAAAGCAATGAGCCATGTAAAATAACGGCTTTACTACAGCCGCTAAAAATTGTAAAGCAAACCCAGGAGACCCCAAGTTCACGCTTGGCAGAGAACTTGAAACTATACTTCAACAAACGAACCGACATGATGAAACATGTGAGCACCCCACAAAAACCCTAAGATCACACCTCCGCCCTCCACCAGGACCCCAAACGCTAAACCCCAAACCCTACACCCCAAAACACTAAACGCTAAAGAAACCCTATGCACAACCCTAAACCCCAAACCCTAAACGCTTAAACCCTAAAACCCCGGAGCACCTGGACCCCAAACCCCCTGAGATCCCCTCCAGCGTCTCTGTTGTTTCGGATGACCCGGGGGAGGCTGGGGCCGGCGAACCAGGAAGCCTCATCTCCTTCCGCAGGGCGATGGGGCTGAGGGTTGAGAGTGGTTTAGGGGGGTTTACTTGTTTGGGGTTGAGGGTTTGGAGGTTTAAGGGTTTAGGGTTGCGGAATGGGGGGTGTTTAACGGTTCAGGGGTGTTTAGGGTTAAGGGTTTGGGGTTGAGGGTTTAGGGTGTAGGGGCAAAAGGGTTTAGGGTTTATGGGTTTAAGGGTTTAGGCTTTAGGGTTTGTTGTCCCGTTTTTTTGGATCCTTGTTGTGAGGATCCCATTATCCTGCAGCATATCCTTGCGGCTTAGGATTGAGGGTTTAGGGTTGCGGAATGGGGGGTGTTTAACGGTTCAGGGGTGTTTAGAGTTAAGGGTTTGGGGTTGAGGGTTTAGGGTGTAGGGGCAAAAGGGTTTAGGGTTTATGGGTTTAAGGGTTTAGGCTTTAGGGTTTGTTGTCCCGATTTTTTGGATCCTTGTTGTGAGGATCCCATTATCCTGCAGCATATCCTTGCGGCTTAGGATTGAGGGTTTAGGGCTTCTACCAGTGAAGCCTCTTCTCCTTCAGGAAACAAAACATACGGCTTCCAGTTCGTTTCAGGGCTGCAGCTAGTTTGGTTCGACCCCGGGAAACCAGAACATGGTGTCATTCAAAGCGTTATGGGCAGTTATACAGGCATTCTGAGCTTTATAACGCTTTGGAGTCTGGGATGGGGCTGCTAATTTTTTGGATTGCTGTGGCTCGGATTCTGCTAAACCCTAAACCCTGAACAAGGGGGTTCAGGGTTCCTTGCCGGATTGCCTCCGCAGGGGTAGAATCTATTCTGAGGACCGAGGGCACTTTTCTGAAGGTCGCGGGTTTAGGGTTCAGGCTTGGACAGTGTTTGCTTGCTAAGCCATGAAGATGCCAGCCGAGTACGACGACAGCGAGAAGGACGACGACGCCGACAACCACGCGAAGACGACTCCTCCTACTGCCATTGGTGCTGCTACCGGTACTAACGTTGCGAAGTACTGGAGTTTTGAATCGCGAGCATTGTTGCACTACTTTCGAGCCTTCCGCCCTGACGTCCGCTGTCAAAAATGTGATGCACCAGTCTGTGTAGATAGATAGCACGCACATGATTTTGGCCACGCAGCTTGAGGTTTCCAGCCTTGAATTGGAGGTCGCTTTGCAGTGTAACTTCACCAGAACTACAATATACTTGCAAACTCGATTTCTTATTCCTAAACCACGACTTCATGAGCTCCTCCCACACTCTATAGTACGTCTTCTTGAAGTAGGACACCCAAGTCCCAAATCCAACAAGCTCTGACAACTCCATAACATTTCAGTAACAGTTTGCAATTTGCAATAACCTGTAGTTCGCATAAAACCCGGGTGAAACCAATTATATACCCCACCACAGAAACTGTAGCAATACAGGCGGCCACACAAAAAACAACATAACACCAGCATTGCAACCTACAAAGCCCATAAACCCAAAGCAATGAGCCATGTAAAATAACGGCTTTACTACAGCCGCTAAAAATTGTAAAGCAAACCCAGGAGACCCCAAGTTCACGCTTGGCAGAGAACTTGAAACTATACTTCAACAAACGAACCGACATGATGAAACATGTGAGCACCCCACAAAAACCCTAAGATCACACCTCCGCCCTCCACCAGGACCCCAAACGCTAAACCCCAAACCCTACACCCCAAAACACTAAACGCTAAAGAAACCCCAGGACTTAAATAAATGTCGGGACTCAGAGAAACGTGCGGTGTTTTTTAAGGCTCTAGCACTCAGTCAACTGTCGATGTCCAGGATGGCGTAACGCATTAGAACATAGTAAAATAAATTATGACATAGTAAAATATTATTTTCAACCTCAACATCCGAATCCCGAAACCGTAAACTTCGAAGCCCTGATATGGGAGTTTCCGAGAATGAGGAGTACCTTATCTTGGGGTCCTTATAATATGTATCCTACTACTTAGGGCACTACATTAGGGTCTCCTATTTTCGGGATCCCATATCAACATCCACGCCCCGAAACACAAACACTCTGTGCACTGCTTTAAGTTGCAAGTCCTGCGTCTCCTCACTGAATGGCGACCTGGTTCAATCCCGATTCTGCTTAAGGTGAACGGTTGAAAGGTAGGGATCGGACCATAACGCCTATATAGACACTTATAAGTTATAAGAATTAAGGTCTACTTTTGGTTTCTGATTTCGGGCTGACTTCAGGGATTCGGGGTACAGGGTTATCGTGTTATGGGGCTGAGGGTTTACAGTTCTCCGTAGCACTGAGGTCGACCTCGCAAGTGCATCTGAAGCAGCGTGATTGGATGGTCCGAATTCTGACATGAACCCTTGGTTCAACTTCTGGAGTATATGGAGCAGACCTGCAAATCGGAGTACGCACATGTAATACGTAGACCTTCAATCTCAGGAAGTAGCTCCAAATAGTTTTACAGAAAACTACCGGATTTGGGCTCTAATGTCTGGTTCATGATTTAACCGCCTCCATCTCAAGTGCCAAACCCTCAAACGAAACCCTGACCCCAACTTCCCTTCATCCCTGCAACCCCTGGCATCACAAGCACCAATCCAAAAGCCTGAAACGCAAAAGTTGAAAAGCCAGCTCTAAATCCTAAATCCTCAAGAACCGAAGACTCCAAATGCCCGAGCCCGGCGGGTAAATTTGCGCCTTGGACTTCCGTTGCTTGCACTGCTCCGGGAGGCCACACCTGAGGGTGTTCTTCATTGGAGGTATAGGCTTAGGGGTTCTTTGGGTTTTGGGAGAGCTTGGGGCTTATCAGGGTTTACAGGTTTATAGAAGTGTGAATTCCACTGGTACTTTCACTTCAAATTCGGACCAAGAAGTCGTGGCTTAGGGATGTAGTGCTCAGGGTCTTGAGCCCCGCACCCGAATTCGGATCCTATCCCCAATCAATCTAAACTCAAAATCCAATAGCCAAGCCTTGCATGTTAACCAAACGGGAGGTATGAGACATGACCTTGCACCCCTTGCACGGCAAGGCGCCCAAGCTGGCCGTTGTGATAGAAGCAGCCTGGGATCATGGAGCCAGCTGGAACGCCCCTCCAATGCGCACCCGAAACATGTCGCGGTTTTAAATCTCTTATCTGCAAGCTCGCCTTCGCCTCTGAAAGCGGTGCTTGCAGATTTCGTCGTTCTTCGAAATCATCCTCCGTATCCGTGTCAGGCCACACGTTGACAGCCTGCGCGGTGCCAAGGCATTCTCGAGATCTACAGGCAGTAGGGTAGCTAAGAAGGCACAAACTCGACAACCTCAGACGAGGAACCCCCAAAATAGCATAGGTATTTATTTAAGCCCCTACAGTATAAGCCCTAGAAAACTGACACACGGATCCCCTAAGCTCACACTGCGACCGGCATGCACGAGAGACCTCGGGCCTTAGGCCTTAGCTGCTCAGTCTGATAAGAACACCAGACGAGCATGCCGGGACACCGCGGGAGAGCCGAGAGTTCAAGACAACCAGGAAATGCCATCTACCCATAGGCTACCTAGTAGCTCCTGTTGGGGATTACCTTATAGGATTCTAAATATGAACCCCCAAAAGGAAGTAATTACAGACTATGGAGCCCATGGGTACACTGTTTGGCAGGAACCCAGTTGAACCCGAAAATGGGTTCTTGCTCACGAAGTTCACCCAAGTTGGTATGGAAGGTATGTGCGTATGTAACCGCAAGTATGTATGTATCGCTCCACCGTACTAAACTGTCAACCCGATCCTATTCTCCTTGGAGTGCGCGGTGATAGAGTAGGTATCTCAAGCTTGCTTCTTGGTTCGGACTCAAGATTTGGAACTCACCAGTTGGGAAGGAGTCCATCATCGACCCAGGATTTAGCGTTTTGGCTTTTCGGCGCTATGGAAGCAGGGGCTATAGACTATAGACTGTAGAAGCCTTCAACCCCCACAGCAACAAACCCTGCATCTTGAGTTCTGCAATCATGCGACATTACAAAAACCCTCAGGGAACCCTGAGGAAGCGCACCTGGAACCTTCTTGAACTGAAACGCCGAGAAGAGCCCTCAGATGGAACCCTTACCTTAAGCCATTGGGTTTGCGTATTCACCGGATGTCTGGGCCTCTGAAGGCGAAGACCCCATGTCCTGCCACCGGGCTTCAGGGCGTTACTTGTGTCTTCTTGGATTAGGGTCTGTAAGGGTTTAGGGTTTAGGGGCCGGTAAATTTGGGCGGTGTTTCGTTTAGCCTAGCTTGGCTTAGCATCCAGATCCGGTTTTCGAGCTTCGGGCTCAAGTTGTTGCTTCAGTTTGGCTTTGGGCATATTCTTACAAGCTTAACGCGGCTTAAAGGTTGAAGCTTGCACCCTAGACGCTAAACCCTAAGCGGGGACCCGAGCCCTGGGTTCGGGCCTTCGATGCGAAGTATCTAGAATAAGGAAGCGCTTCGGATCCTGGCTTCTTGGGGTCCGTGCCGCAGAGGCTTCTGAGGATAAGCAAATCCTGGAAAGTCCGACACTTTGGAAACTCTCATGGCTTTGAACAGCATCTACGGCTTTGAGAAGAAGCATATGGGTCTAAAAAGGCTCAGATGCTGCGGGCAGATGTAACTGCAGCCCATGGTCTCCAACTCAGAAAGACTTCCATGGCTCTGCTGCTGTACTTGTGTAAGTTGGCGAGTTACAGTTCTGCTCGAAGCTGAGAACTTGTGTGCCTGTCTCACGGCCTGAGACATCCGCAGGGTTTAAACAGTATGCTTACTTCATGGACTAAATCGCAGACTTCGTGAGTATGGCACAAGGCGAAGTAGCCACTGTTTACCTAAACAAAAAGGAACCCCAGCTCAGGTGCTTACAGCCGCGCCTATGACCCTAGAGTCCTTCGGGCTTGAAGTATCTAAGTACAGATACTCCCAAATTGCACCCCACAGTTACGTTACTGCTATCCTAGACCGAAATTCCTACTTGTTGGGCTCTTTGGACCCTTCGGGACCATGTTACCCCACATGCATGAACCTTGAAAGGAACAATTGTAAAGAACCCATGGAAACAGGAGTGCTCAAAGGTACCACCGAACAAGCCCCTAGCCATTTCTTAAGGAACCCTCAAAGACTTTCAACCCCTATAGCCTCTGACTTTTGCGAAACCCTTAAGGGACTCTTAAAGGAGCCCCTTTATGGAAACCCTTTAAAGAGACCCAATAATTCCAATGCTGCTTGTAAGACGAGTAAGAATAAGAACAGTACTCAAAGGAGAAGGTGGGATATCATGCATAGTGATAGTACCAATATGCATAAGCCTACTTATGACATACGAATATTGCAAATCATAGGCCATCGTATCAATACCCTAAACTACCCTGAACAGGCCTTCTCCCGTGCAGGCGATGCCGGCGGAGATGGCGTCAGCTCGGGTGATGCTGCCTTAGGGAGCGAACGTAGGATCAAAGTGGTTCGGAACAGTTTGCTCCATGTACTCATCTAGTCTAGTAGGTGCTTATGTATGATAGATATGTATGAATGTATGTACGTATGGGCTTTAGGGGTTCCTTTCCATGCATTTTCGGGCAAAAGTATTATGTACATAATGAGTTGCAACTCAATAAGGGCTAGAAGGGCTAGGGATTGACCCTCAGCCCGCATGCTCCCTTATCCTGTGGGCGCAAGTTCCTGACAGTCACATAGTTGTTCCACGAGCAACCCAAAATGCTACCATCCGACTCGAAACTTATCCTATCCAATAGCTTGTGTTAGTCTGAAACTTACCTATTGTAGAATCACACGATATAGTTAGAATCGTGACTACTAGTCCAAAGTCGTTTATGATTACATATCCTCGTTGATATCCAACATCCTACGCGGATGTTAGTCAAAATACTGGGTTACAGTCTTGTCGCTCATGTGTTCAAGATCCCCAAAATCGATATCCATACTCCTACGAACTCTGGGTATGGTCGGGGGGCCAAACTTCCGACGAAGTTTCGTTGAAACAGCTTCACGATCTTCGTCGGAATATACAAGAAGCAGTGGAAAAGCAGCCCAAACCCAGACACAAACTTCGACTCAAACTTCGTTACGTGACCTCGGCAAACACCGACACCATCGACGAAGTTTGGTCGAATTTCGACCAAACTTCGGCGCTGGAGCTATTCCGAAAAGCTGGGGTTAAGGACAGGATATCCTTAATCGCAGCTTTTTGTCAAGTAGCAAATATCCCAATCTCAGCTTTTAGTTACACCCAAGATTAAGGATATTTATACCGCCAAGCGAGACTGTATATCCATAAATGAACTTCAACTAATAGTTATTTTAGCTAAGGTAAAGCCTTAACTAATAGTTACATTTCAGACTAACTCAAGGTATGGGGTAAATAAAAGTGCTATGCTTTCAACCTTGAATGACCCCAAACCCCAAAGCCCAAGCCCCTGTACAAACTCAAAGCCCTCAGCCCTAAACCAGAGAACAACTAATCGATCGTAAAGGAAGCCCAAAATCACAAGGGTTCCGGTTATAACAGCACAGGTACACAGGAACGTGAGGGGAGTATCCTTATGTACTCCCCTGCATACCCAAGAGTACTATAGGGGCCCTTAACAAGTAGAACAGGGATTTTGGGCCCAAATTATACGATAGTTATACTAGGGAACCCCAAAATAGTATAGGCAATCATTATAAGGCCCCTATACATCGGCCTCAGAGCTGAGGAGGGGACGCTGCTCCCACGGGTGGCCTGTGGCAGGGTTTAGGGTATGGTCAGCAGAGTTTCGGGTACGGACAGTGCAGGGCTAAGGTTTAAGGGTCAGTGTGTGGTGCAGGAACGGGGCTTGGGGAATTTGTGCGTCATACTGCGGCTGGGGACCAGGACAGGCCCCAGGATATCATGAGCGCACCAAGGTGTTGTCTTGCATGAGGCCCAAAAGCGCTTCGGCACAGAATTCATAGGTATCGCCGGTATCGCCATGAGCCAAAGAAGTGCCAAAACCGTTCTGCTGCTGCGGGGGCCTTGCTTTAAGACAACTTATGCCGGAACTGCAGCTGCTACGGCCTCGGTACCTCCTACAAGGCCTGAGGAGTCCTAATCCCTTCAAGCGACTGCAAAGCTTGCAAGCGAGTCTGCCGCCGTGAGCAATCTGCTGCAGATCCCTCCACGCTCGGCTAGCAGCCAAACTTGACACCACATTAAATACACTTTGCGCACTCTCCGTGAGTGGTTTGGTCACTGCTGGAAGACTTGCAGCTCCGAGGGGCTGCTCGCAAGTGACAACAAAACACAGATACTCGAACCACTCAGCAACTCCCCTCCAACTCCTTAGCGGTTGAGGCCGCCTGCGCTGCATGCTCTTCCGCCGCCTTCTCCGCGGCCTCTTCATTGCGTCTGCTGGTCGGGAATCTACCCCAACAGTTGCCAGACATCAGAATGGAGTTGAAAAACCCGATTTTTGCCGCGACTCATAAGTTGGGAATGACAACTTATCTTCAGGCAATGGATCATCAACGCAGGACCTACACCCGTAAATCCTGAACTCAAACAACCCCTCATATACCCTCGAGACATGCACGGGCTTACGCAATACCTCCCTGCGAAAATCACTCTTGCTGCTCCCCTTGAACCCTCTGGCCCTCTGAGCATCAACACCGTGAAACCAAAACAAATCGCCATGGTGCAGTGTGTATGACACGATTCGCCGGGTGCTTCAGATAGAAGGATGCACGAAGTATCTTTCCGCTCACGCTGTCCTGGCTTCCTACACACGTCTTCCCAATCAGCGAGCCTCGCGTGCACGACGCTGCAGAATGAACTGGCAGTGAACGGCCAGAGGTTATTTGGTGCAGCGGGCCCGAGACGTGACACTCAAGATTTTGCATTGTCTTTGGCTTCAGGCATCAGGTAGTACTTGCAGGCTTCGTTCGGGGTTTGTCCACTCCCGCTGAAACTAGTCTCCATAGTTAGCAGTTGGCAAATGTCCACGAACATTGCTCAGCCGCTGAACACAGCGGTTGAAGGCTCAGGCTTCGGGGTGTAGAGAAGCATTTGCTTCCTTGTCATGCCGGCGAAGTGTGTGGCACCACTTCAGTATGCGCGAGAATAATGAGGGTTTGGTAGTTGTGCGTTGAAATTCCACCGGACGTCTTTAAGCCAGCTATCATCCATCCCTTCTTTGCTCACGCATGAACAGGTGCAAGGTGGTAGCGCTACTGTACGTGCAGTTGCTGTTGTTATTGTTGCTGCTGCTGTTGCCGCTGCCGCTGTTGCTGTTGCTGCTAGCTGTTGCTGTTGCTACTGCCGTTGCCGTTGCTGATGCTGCTGCTGGTGTTGTATCGTTGGTGTCGTTGCTGTGGTTGCGGTTATTGCTGATGTTGATGTTGTTGTCGTTATTGTTGTTGGCGGTGGTGGTGGTAGTGGTGGTGGCGGCGGGGGTGGTGGTGTTGGTGTCGGTTGTTGTTGATCGACAGTGGAGGTGGTGGTGGTTTTTGGTGTTGGTGTTGTTGGCGGCGGCACGTGCGTCTGCCGGAGCGATTTCGGGGCTGGCACGAGCTGAAACTCGAGTTTTGGCATTTTGCCCACCCGGAGTTGATTCTGCGTTTTGTGTTCTCGTCGATTTTATGCTGTGTTTTCGAACAAAAAATGTGACACCTGGCTGGCTGCACTGTACAAAAAACATGCTGAGCTCTGCATTTCGCATAGCTCCTTCGGTGTTTTCCTATGTGTGTCGCACTTCACGTCGGTTTTTACAATGTCTTTGTCGGCTCTCGACTTTTCGCACCTGCCAGCTTGGACTTCCATTTGCACTTCAGCTCCGTGCAGGGGTAAGGTCTCCTGTTTCTTTTGTTGCGTTACTTCTCAAACGCTGCCGGTTGCTCTGCGAAGCCCTCGTTGATGCTTCTTGTTGCTTCACTTTTCAAACGTCAACCACGCAAAAAACCTCGAGGTTTTGAGGCTTTCCAGACAGAAACCTCGCAGCGAACCCCCCAAATCATCAAACATCAAAGACGAAAAGCATGGCACGAGTATTTGCCACAGCTCCGAAAAAACGCAACCAAAAAACAAGATACATCCAAAAAACGTAACCAAAAAACAAGACAAACAACTATGGAACAAAGAAATCCGAAGCATCGTCTTGTTGACGAAAACCACACAAAACTCAGGGTTTTCAAGCTTTTGACGAAAAACCTGGCAAAGATAAACAATACACCCCGCCCGGCGGCAGACGCACGTGCTACCTCGTCGTTGTTGTTGTTGTTGATGTTGCTGCTGTTGTTGACGGTGGAAGTGGTTGCGGTTGTTGCTGGTGGTGTTGTCATTGCTGTTGTTGTTGTCGCTGTTGTTGCTGCTGTTACTGTTGCTCTTGTTGTGGTTGTCGTGGTTGTTGTTGCTGCTGCTGTCGTTGTTATTGCTATTGTTGTTCTTCTTGAGGTTGTTCTTGTTACTAACATTCTTCTTGTCGGATGTGTTTTTGTTGTTCTTGTTGTTCTGCTCTTATGTTGCTCTGGTTCTTGTCATTGCTGTTGCTGTTGTTGTTGGTGATGGTTGCTGCTGCTGCTGCTGCTGCTGCTGCTGCTGCCGCAGATGGATCAATTGACTTAGCTCACGAACCCTGGGTCATGAATGAATTCTACAATCTCAGCCACGCACCCTAAACTCCAATTTACTATCCCAGCCCTCTGCGGCTCTGCCTGCACGTCGCGGGCAGCCATCCTCAACTCCTGGGGCACCTGAAGCGCGCTTTGGACTTTGGAGTGGGGTAAGCTTTCTGGGGCTCTAAAATGTTATCATGACTTGAGGCGTGGATTACGTTCTTGGGCTTGGCCCTGCTGTTTCGTGCAGCAAAAGCTTCTTCACCAAAGAGTCCCTTACGAAATAAGCGGGGGCAACATGCTGAGAAATTCATACTGATCCTGAGATGCCGACGCCCGAGACGCTGTTGCGCCTTCGCACTTCCGCCTTGGTTCTTGGGGGATCCTACTCGGCCACATCGACACTTTCACGTGCCTGACATTTCGATCCGTGACCACGAACCCCAGAGACCCAGCAAACTCGGGGCCCAGCCAGAAGGGCAGCCTGAGCATGCGACGCGAAAGATTAAGGGATCAGAAGCCAGTCTCAGGCCGACCGCGCCCGGAAATGACTCCAAAACTCCTTTCGCCAGGGACAAAGCCCCAAATCAACATCGACGTGTCAATGGGTGCCGGGGGCCAGGCCGCCCGCTTCATCGCGGCCTCGAAGCATGTCTACCACAATCGGGGTTGTTTGCTGCTTCTTACATTTCTGTCTTCGTCGTTAGGGAAGAACGTGCCATTCAGGGCCTAAAACATTCTATAGGGTCCAAGCACCGGGGTTCGGCATGCCACGCATACTTCAGGATGACTTGCTTCTCTGCAACACAGGCGTGCACTCTGCCCACGAACTCCTTGACCTCTGCAAGAGATTTCTTCCAAAGACAGCCAATCTTCAAGTCCAGACAACTTCATCTCAACATTGCTACTGCTGCTGGTACCACCACTACCACTACCACTACCGACCACCAATACGTGCTGCCTCACGGTCCTGCATCTTCGCCGCAGCACTGTAGGAATTCTGCAATGTCGTGACCTCCTTGGACGAAATGCACAACAGCCATCGCAACAACCGGTGAAGCTCCACAAAACTCCCCATGCGCTCCTCTCTCATTTTGGCGGCTGGTGCTGCTTGACCTTCTTCTCCTGTGTTCTCCTCACATGGACCAGACTGCAAACGCCAAGCCGCGGTGGAGATGCGCTATCTGCCCTTTTGGTTTGTCTTTTTGGACCTTGTTTTGCTCTGCTGCCGCGGGGGCCTTGCTTTAAGACGGTTTTTGAACATGAACATGCCGGAACTGTAGCTGCTACGGCCCATTAGCCTCTTCGTCGGTACCTCCTACAAGGCCTGAGGAGTCCTAATCCCTTCAAGCGACTGCAAAGCTTGCAAGCGAGTCTGCCGCCGTGAGCAATCTGCTGCAGATCCCTCCACGCTCGGCTAGCAGCCAAACTTGACACCACATTAAATACACTGCAGACCTCGTTTGCGCACTCTCCGTGAGTGGTTTGGTCACTGCTGAAAGACTTGCAGCTCCGAGGGGCTGCTCGCAAGTGACAACAAAACACAGATACTCGAACCGCTCAGCAACTCCCCTCCAACTCCTTAGCGGTTGAGGCCGCCTGCGCTGCATGCTCTTCCGCCGCCTTCTCCGCGGCCTCTTCATTGCGTCTGCTGGTCGGGAATCTACCCCAACAGTTGCCAGACATCAGAATGGAGTTGAAAAACCCGATTTTAGCCGTGACTTGTAAGTTGGGAATGACAACTTATCTTCAGGCAATGGATCATCAACGCAGGACCTACACCCGTAAATCCTGAACTCAAACAACCCCTCATATACCCTCGAGACATGCACGGGCTTACGCAATACCTCCCTGCGAAAATCACTCTTGCTGCTCCCCTTGAACCCTCTGGCCCTCTGAGCATCAACACCGTGAAACCAAAACAAATCGCCATGGTGCAGTGTGTATGACACGATTCGCCGGGTGCTTCAGATAGAAGGATGCACGAAGTATCTTTCCGCTCACGCTGTCCTGGCTTCCTACACACGTCTTCCCAATCAGCGAGCCTCGCGTGCACGACGCTGCAGAATGAACTGGCAGTGAACGGCCAGGGGTTATTTGGTGCAGCGGGCCCGAGGTGTGACACTCAAGATCTTGCTTGGTCTTTGGCAGTAC